CTGGAACTCATTATGAGAATGGACACACTCCCAACACAACCAAAGATGATTACGCACCTGCCTGCGTTCTACTTAACTGACGTAAGGGCTCTGTGGAAGGCCCTGAAGGCTGATGACATGCTCGAAGCGCCTACATTTTCTCAAGACGCGAAAAGAGGGCTGATAACTAGTATGTGTGTCGTAGCCCTTGTTGGATCAAGACTCCCCGCCGGAATCCAATTTGGTTGTAGTTGGAAGATGGAAAAAAGCCACGACTTCAACCGGCTTGAGCCAAAGGTACGCGGAAGTGATTTGGGTGCCTGGCCGGGAACTGCAACTGAAAAGATGCTGACAGTCATGCGGAGAGACGCCGCAGTCGGGACAGCTGTCGGGTGTGGATGGGTCAAGCCTGTGTTGGTACCGGTGAAGAAGCATGAAGTAGTCACTGCGTAGTTGAGCCAAAGTACAGCCACTGACCCTGGGGAGTAGTTTTTCCGAGGCCGCAATCGGAGGTGGATAGCTGCCTAAAAGGACCGTGGGATGATAGCTGAGTTTTGCATTGACAACGACTTTCTGATGAAGTCACTGGAAGCCTTTCATGATGGCAGAGCCATGAACGGGTAGATCTGAGCGACATGACGCGGCGGTGGCGGGGTTCAGGAGCGTGGCAACGGTAGTGATTATGATGGCCAGGTTGCCAAAAAGTCTACCAAAACTGTTGGCCTAAGAGTGTGTTGCGATGGTGATGGTGGGCTTGCACTGCATCTGCCACACTCGCTTCTCTCACACCTTCGTTGAAATGACCCGTTTAGGGGGCGCACTGCTATTCACAAACTATGCGCAGTGGTATCCATATCTATTGAGACGTCCAATCCTGCCTCCGGTCTTCTTACCTGTAGGATTGAGCGAGGAGGGTGTACAGCGGATCTGTCGCCTCAGCTCAGCTCGCTTAAAGAAAACTTATTCTCAACTTCGGTAGCGAAGTGCGGCCGAGGGGGATTAATTTTATCGCCTAGTATTGTCGGTAGTTTATTTCAACCGCTTCAAAAACTAATCCTCTCCGTCGGTGGGTTTGGCTCTCTGTGTGATTTATACATTTTTTTCACATTCAACTACTTTTATTGCTGTTGCATGCCACATATGTGGCCTACTACTAGCGACATCTTCCGGTCACCACCACCGCCGCCGAGGGTTCCTTTTCCTCGAAAGTACCCAGCTTAATGGGCTTTTTTTCCGTGTTCACAGGCCCAGGGACCGCACGAGATCTCAGTGTCAGCCCACCAGATTGTACAGTTGCTCCAGCGCACAGACTCTCCCAAACTACCCTCCTCT